CAGTTGAGCAGCCAGGACTTGAACCCACACATATATGGGGTGCTGGCACTGCAGGCAGAGGCTCAACCTTCTATTCCACACTGCTGGCCCCAGTATGTCATCATATGGATTACTATATTAACTTTACCTCCATGCAAGCATTAAACATCTTCACAATAATGTATCTAATGTATACAGGGGTTTGTGCACATGCATGTTCATGCATGCAGCAATATTTACATACGGTATTGAAAATGATACCATGAGGCTGGTGCCATGGTTCAATAGGCTAATCCTCCACCTTGCGGCACCGGCACACCGGGTTCTAGTCCCATTTGGGGCACCGGATTCTGTCCCAGTTGCCCCTCTTCCAGGCCAGCTCTCTGCTGTGGCCCGGGAGTGCAGTGGAGGATGGCCCAAGTGCTTGGGCCCTACACCTGCATGGGAGACCAGGAGAGGCACTTGACTCCCAGCTTCAGATCAGCTTGGTGCACTGGCCACAGCGCACTGGCCGCAGCAGCCATTGGAGGTTGAAGCAACGGTAAAGGAAGACCTTTATCTCTCTCTCTCTCACTATCCACTCTGCCTGTCAAAAAAAAAAAAAAAAGAAAATGATACTGTGAGAAACATTAACACACATTTCAAAAATGAAGTCTTCCTTGGAGACAGCTTCCTACAGGGCAAATCCCTGGGTCCTTCTAAGTACTACAGGCTGATCTGTATCTCTCTAAAATTTATATCATGAAACGCTGACAAGCAATGTGACCCTATTTGGAGATAAGACTTTAAGCAGATAATTGACATCAAATGATATCATAAATGTGAAGCCCTGATTCAAACTGATCAATGTTCTTATAAGGAGGGATGCACATAGACAGAAGAAATACCATGTAAGGGTACAGTAACATGGTGGCTATGTGGTAACCAAAGAGAGGTCTCAGGAGCAACCAAACCCATTATCATCTTGCTCTCAAATATATAATCTCTAGAACTATGAGAATATATTGCTGTGATTCGAGCCACATATTCGACAGTATTTATGTTATGGCCACCCTAGCAAAGCAATGCACTCTTTTCTCTGCTTATATTTCCTACAGCCAATTAGAAGGCCACCGCAATTATCAGACAAACACAGAAATTAAAAGCCATGGCTGGGGATTAGCACTGTGGGACAGTGGGCTAAGACTCCACCTGCAGCACCAGCATCTCATATCAACACTGGTTTGTCACCTGGCTGCTCCACTTCCAACCAGCTCTCTGTTTATGGCCTAGGGAAAGCAGTGGAAGATGGCTCAAGCCCTGGGTTACTGCACTGATGTGGAGACCTGGAGGAAGCTCCTGGCTCCTGGCTTTGGATCAGACCACCTTCCAGCCCTTGGAGCCATTTAGGGACTGAAGCAGTGGATGCAGATCTTTTATCTCTCTCTTTTCCTCTCTGTCTGTAACTGCTTCCCAAACAATAAATAAAATCTTTAAAAAAAGACATAATTGATCATAGAATATATATAATTGATCATAGAAATATGATATATATATATATTATATATATATATATATATATATATATATATATTAATATGGGACTATTAATAAACCGACAGTTGGCAGCTCTACCTGTTATGCCACAGTGTTGGAAACTTAAGGAGTGAACCAGCCATGGTAGATCACTCTGTATCTCTGTCTTTAATGAATTAAATAAATAAAAAAATTTAAAATATAAAATAAGATTACAAAAAAATGTTTAAAAACAAGAATCGGCATGGGCATTTGGTGCAACAGCTAAACACACCATTTTTTTTTTACTTTTATTTAATAAATATAAATTTCCAAAGTACAGCTGATGGATTACAGTGACCTCCCCCCCCCCATAACTTCCCTGCCACCCGCAACCTTCCCATCTCCCACTCCCTCTCCATTCCTCCATTCCATTCATATCAAGATTCATCTTCAATTATCTTTATATACAGAAGATCAATTTAGTATATATTAAGTAAAGATTTCAACAGTTTGCACCCACACAGAAAGACAAAGTGTAAAGTATTGTTTGAGTACTAGTTATAGCATTAATTCACATTGTACAACACATTAAGGACAGAGATCCTACATGGGGAGTATGTGCACAGTGACTCCTGTTGTTGACTTAACAAATTGACACTCCATTTTGATAACCATGTCCCATATAAGAGTGCCACCTTGAGTTCAGCAACCCCACTTGTGATCAATTTCCTGTGAATGCACCCCCTGGGAGACAATAGGGGATGGCTCAAGTTATTGGGTCCCTGCCACACATGTGCAAGACCAGGATGGACTTCCTGGCTCCTGTGTTTCAATCTGGCTGAGTTGCAACTGTTATAGGTTTTTTTTTTTTTTTTTTTTTTTCCAGAGGGGGGTGAAACAGCCAATGGAGATCTCCCTCTCTCTGTCTCTCTGCCTTTCAAATAAACGAAAATCAATAAATAAGACTTAAAAAAAAGCATAACAGAGAAAATGATTGCAACCACATTCATACTAACCCACTTACATCAATAATCACTTTAAATGTGCATTATCTAAATACACTAAAGATAGAGATTGACATGGGAAAAATAAAACCAAGACCCAACTTCGTGCTGTCTATAGGAAACCATTTAAATATACAGATACATGAAGGGAATTTGAAGTCATCTTGGCCAATCACATTTCATTTGCATAGTAGGATACATTCAAGAGGTCTGTTGTGCAACATGGTGAACATAGTTAATAACAATGTGTTCTACTATAGAAAAATAAATAAGAATTTTAGACTTTTAAGGATTCTTATCATGAAAATAGGTACATAACATAATGGAGATGGTAATTGCCTTCCCTTGTTTCATTTAAATTATATAAATATTTCCAAATTCCATTCTCATCAATTTAAGACACATCCTATACACAGCTGCTTAAAAAATAAAATATGCAGAAAAATAGTCCATTACAATACCAATTCAATTAAATGTAGAAAAAACAGCATTCATTTCAGACTAATCAGAATTTAGGTCAGACTACTACAAGGGTTACACAGTGAGACAACTGGGCAGTTCTTCAAGAAGACATTACAAGGCTTGCTACCAAGTGCCCCTAAGTAGAGCATTAAGTTATGTAGAGAAAACTTATATAACTCCCAAGCAAAAATACAGATCCATCATTCCTAATCAGTACAAATAGATCAACAGTATACATACTCAACCAGTTGGTCATTAGGAACTAGGAATATGTTTACCAACCAGAAATGTCAGTTAACACCAGGTGGGATAAATAAATAAGGTAAATCTAACTGCTGGGAAGTCAAAAACTTAGTAAGTGCATAAGCATGAAAAGTTAGATACGTAATCCTTGTATTCCACTAACACTGCCTACAGAAGTAGAATTTATTCACACTCTATAGCCTAACAACATTTTTGCATTATTTTAAAAACATACTGTGAAGCAACACATGAAAAAAATTAAATATTATCACAAATATCACAAAATAAACAAAGAAAAGCTCACTGTTGAGAGTAATAGCTTATTATTATTATTATTATTTTGACAGCAGAGTGACACAGTAAGAGAGAGAGGACCGGAGAGAAAGGTCTTCCTTCCACTGGTTCACCTCCCAAATGACAGCTACAGCTGGCACGCTGCGCCAATCTGAAGCCAGGAGCCAGGTGCTTCCTCCTGGTCTCCCACATGGGTGCAGGGCACAAACACTTGGGCTATCCTCCACTTTCTTCCCAGGCCACAGCAGAGAGGCTGGACTGGAAGAGGAGCAAACGGGACAGAATCCGGCGCCCCGACCAGGACTAGAACCCAGTGTGCAGGCCCACAGGTGTGGAGGATTAGCCTAGTGAGCCGCGGTGCCAGCTGAGAGTAATAGCTTTATGCCACACACACACACACACACACACACACACACACACAACACACACACAACATTAAAAAGAACCTCAGCTCATTCACCAGTGGGGGCAGAGGTAGAAGAGATCAAGAAGACCCCTGGTGCCAACAATGTAGCACAGCAGATAAAGCTGCTGCCTGCATTGCCAGCATCCCATACAGGTGCCGGTTCCCAACCCAGCTACTCCACTTCCCATCCCACTCTCTGCTATGGCCTGGGAAAGTGGGAGATGCTCAAGTTCTTGGGGCCCTGCACCCCCATGGGAGATCAGGAAGAACCTCCTGGATCCTGGTTTGGATCAGCACAGCTCTGCCATTGTGGCCATCTGGAGAGTGAACCAATGGATGGAAGACCTCTCTCTCTCACTCTTTCTCTCTCTCTCTCTCCACGTCTACCTCTCTGTACTCTACCTTTCAAATAAATAAATAAAACTTCAAAAAGAAACAGGACCCCTGAACTGACCAAGGCCCACTTATTTACCTGGGTAGCCATTCCATTAGTGTTTACATTATTAATCAAACTTAGCAGAAAATAAAAGATCCTCTTTCCTTTTTCAAATCTTATTACTGAATAAACTCAGGTTTCATCAAAGAAAACAGCAGTGTAACATTCAAATCAAGTCACACAGTTCCTACACAAGTGGGGCAGACTGTGAATAAATGGAAGCAATTTCTGCAAAAAGACATGAGTGGAATGAGCGCTGGGAGGCTGCCTGTTGAACCCACACTCAGGTTCCCCAGGCTCCAGGTCTTGGTGCTCACACTACCTGGGGTTGGACTCCCCCACTCTCCATTTGTCCACGGGGATCTGTGCCATCCCCAAGCCTCACCAGCAGAAGTCCGTCCCCACACCCTGCCCCCGCATCCTTGGCTTAAAAACATGTGGTTGCTGTTACATCATTAGCAACAAAACCCCTAGGAAAAGCTATGGACCTGAGACCCAGGTGCCCAACTCAAGGAAATCAGGTCACGGGTGAGGTTCCAGATTCTCCTTCTCCCCACACAACCTGGAGAGGTGAGGCCGGGTTCAGGTGGAGTCGCTGCACACTGAGACAGGGCCTTACACCAGGGTTTGCAGCTGCCGCGCTCCCCTCACCTCCTGTGGGCCTGGGACTCACACTCACCGCTTCCTGCGACCAGGGACTCCGGGCGTCCTCTCAGGGGCCTGCGCTGAGGGGAGTTCAGGGTAGAAGTGTCTGAGCTGACCGGGGCTCTCTCAGGAGCAGACCAGGAAGAGGATCCCCAGGGTCTGCCCTGTTGCCATGGCGCACCTGATTCAACAGTCACAGAGGCTGCATGACGTCACAGAGGACGCACCCAATCAGCATCATCCCTAGTGTGAGGGCGGGCCCTTGGGGTTACATCGAGTGGGGGAGTGAAAGGCGGGGCTTGGTCTCAGGCCTGAAACTTGGCCTTCCCGACTGCAGGGGGTGCTGCCCCGCCCGCAGGATCCCATCTCCTGAGATCCTGTTCAGACCTTGAATCTGGAGCTGCCATAATCCTCAGGTGAGTTACAGTTTACTGTTTATGGATTCTGGGCCTTTTTCTCTTTGTGTTCTTGGCTTATTGTTCTGTTAGGTCATTTGATTTTGTTAAATACGGAATTGAAGAGTATTTCTCATACAGATATTCATTTTCTGGATTGTACTTTGTCCGTTAACCATTGTTTTCTAATTGCTTTTTACGGGGACCTGGTAACCTACTTGATTGTATTGATCCTGTACCCAATAATTTTAGTTAATTCGCCTATCAGCTCATATTTGTTTTGCTTATGTTGGATTTTCTCTACATATATTAATATCATTAACATACATTAAGAGTTCTATTACTTAAAAGCAACCCAATACCTCACATTTCTTTTTGTTTGGTTAATTTCTCTAATTATGCATCCAGGACAATGTTGAAGAAAGAGAGAGGAGAAAAACCTGTCCAAGATTATTTACCAGGGAAAATCGTTTAGTGGTTCTGTGTTAATTATGCTGTTTATTATTACTTCTCTGTAGCTAGTCTTAATTACAATTAGGGAACTGCTATCATTTTTCTGTTCTTTTTATAGTTATAAGTTGTTGTATTAAAAGCTTTTCAACATTTAATCTCAACATTCATGTGATTTACTTATATTTTTCTTACACATGAATTATTTACTTGGATTATTTTGGAATGTTAAATCATCTTTGCATCTTCTAATGTATCCTGCTTGTTGTTGATCTCTTCTGTTTTCATATTTTGCTTCAAATACCTGTATCTCTTATTAAAGATTTATGTTAAGTTCCTTCCACCTGATCTGTGTCCACTAATGTAAAGCAATGAATTCAAAAGAAATTCAAATATATTCTGTCTATTGCCACTTTAGATGAATCTGGGAAAATGAGCAACAACCTTCCTTGAATGTCTAGAATTTTCTAAGTCTGAATCTGAAATTTTCCTTGTGGAATTTTTAAATTCATTGATTTGATTTTTCAACTACTGATTAGTCTTATTTAACTTATATGGAAGTTCTCTACAGTATGCAATATCTGTGTTATGGTATATTGGTTTCCAAAATTCAGTGACTTGATATCTCTTTAAAATTTTTTACTCCAAACTATTTCTCATAATACTTACTATCTTGTTAAGGTTTATAAATGGAGGAGGGTATCTGGGGGGCTTTATGGTGTAATGAGTAAAGCTGCATCAGGGATGCCAGCATCCCATAAAGGCACCAATTTAAGTCCTGTGTGCTTCACTTCTAATGTAGCACACTGCTAAGTGTCCTGGGAAAGTAGCTGAAGCTGGCCCAAGTGTTTGAACCCCTGCAACCAACACAGGAGACCCAAATGAATCTCCTGGCTCCTCACTCCTGGCTTCTGCCTCCCTATCCACTGTAGCCATTTAGGTAGTGACCCAAGGGATGGGAGATCTCTCTCTCTCTCTCTCTCTCTCTCTCTCTCTCTATCTCTCTCTGTGGTGTTCATGTGTATGTGTGTAGTTCTTTGTTTTTCTTTTTTTTTCTTTACTCTGCTGCCTCCCCTGTAACTCTGACTTTCAAATAAATCTTTAAAATGAAAAAAAAAAAAGAAAATTTTGAAGATGATGCTATTTGGATTCCTGAAGCTGGTTGTTTGTATGGTATTTTCTTTGTTTCCTTAATGACTTATACTAATTTTTATTAATTTTGTTAATATGCTTTAAAAACACTTTTTCCTTATTTCTATTGTGCATTTTTCTACAGGTTTCATTGATGCCTGCCTGTTTTTACTTGCCTCTCTTGTGTGGTTTATTCTATAGTTAATTTTAGTTCTTAAGAAAGAAACTGCAGGAAGCTGGCATTGTGGCATAGTGGGTAAAGCTGCCACCTGCAACCCCAGCATTCCATATTGGTACCAGTTTGAGTCCAGGCTGCTCTATTTGCAGTTCAGCTTCCTGCTAATGGCCTGGAAAAGACAGCAAAAGATTGCCAAAATGCTTGGCCCTACACTTGTGTGGGGAATCCAGAAGAAGCTCCTGGCTCCTGGCTTCAGACTGGCCCAGCTCTGGCCATTAAAACCATTTGGGGAGTGAACCAGTGGAATGATGGAAGATTCTCTCTCTCTCTCTCTTTCTCTAAATAAACAAATCAGTTTTAAAAAAGGAAGCCATAATGACTGGTTCTCAATCACTTGAGACTCTAAATTTTCTCTAAGCAGGTCTCCACCTACTGTGACAATTTATATTGCATCTCCTGTATTTTTTGCTGTGTTTCCAAATCCTGTAATAATATGCCCTGTCTGCCTCCTAATGTTTCCAGTTCCATGTGTCTGCTCACTTTGCTTATCTCTAATCCTGTTCCTAAAGCCCATATGTTATTTGCTATTTCAACATCTCCTTTATCTGGGACCCTTGTTCATTTTGATAGTTTTGTCATTTAAAAAGTGTCATCCAAGCCAGCTCTTTAAAGCTTCTGCTCCTTGTGTCTGCAGCATGTCCCAGCTGTGAGAGTCCTCATCCCTTTTATGTACAGCACATCTCTCTGCAAGTCTCCTGCTGGGCCTGCACACCATGCCAGTCCCCATGGGTCCCCAGCCACTCTGTATGTAGCCCTAATTTTCCCTAAGTGCTGACCTCCCTTGTCCATACACCTGTCAGGACTTGTGTGTCTCCAGTCTTTCTCTGTATAGAGTGACCTTTCTCCTGCCCTGCAGTGACTTTGTCCCTTTACTCCCAGTTCATGGAAGCCTATGGGTACCACTCTGCCCTTTGCTTACAACTACGGCTTCCTTCAGCTGTCTGCCTGCTACTTGCCTGAAGCCAATGTCTTCCTTGTGTCTCTGGAACCCCTGTGACTCCAGCCCATGCCTTTTCTCTTGTGTCCCCATGTCCAGTGTCCAGGCCCCATATTTCCTAATTCCATGTGCCTTCAAGAGCCTCCACCTACTGTGACAGCTTGGCTCTCTGTTTATCTACTAAAGAACATTTTGATTTCATTCAGGTTTTAGGCATTAGGAATAAAGCTGGTGTGTATGTTTTTATCCTAGATTGTGGGTCTAAGCTTTCCAGTTAGCTGGGTAAATCATCAGGACATCCTTCCTGCACTGTATAAGGATACTATCATAGGCTTTAAAATACCTTATCCAGATATCTTGTGAAGGATTTAGCCATTTTGACCAGTAATGAATAATATTTTTGAATACTCTGCATCCTAGTAAAAATTGGCACCAAAATGATTGTTTATTAAGACCATTTTATAAATATGTAGTGTTTCTACCTCATTGGCATTTAATTTGCATTAATTTTATGGAACATTCATTCTTTTATCTCACAATTCCCTAAAGTTCAATATATTGTATGTATTTATTTCTAAGCTGCATATATCCTATGTAAATACAACTCAATTTTTTAGGTTTAAATTGGAGGATTTATCACCTTATTAAATGTCACAAGCTTCATGAAATTTGCAGGCAATTCTTGTGGATATATGTTTTACAAGTGTTATCTCCCATTGTAGGGCTTATCTTTATTTAAATAATATGTTAGAGAACACCTTTAGTTAACACAGCTCACATTCTATATTTTATGGATCATGCATTCAATGCTGTATATAAAACCTTTCATAAATAAATTCATGTCTTATTAAAAAGGAGAATAAAACAATGTATGTACATCATGATTATACCTGTATAAAACACTTGGATAGGAAAAGGTGTCAAAACTATAATAACTGAGATTTTATCAAGCTAGCAGACTCATGGGTTTTTTTTCCCTTTATTCTAAAGCAAATGTTCATTTTGGAAAAAGGGAATTCTGAAAAGCATTAACATGAACAATAACCCTGTGATTCCATCATCCACGAAAGTCACTGCCAATACTGAAGTAGATTCTGCTTTGTTTCTGGATTTCCCCATGTAGCTATTCAATTGATTGTATGGTGTTGATACACCATAATATGCATATTTTATAGTATAGCCTAATGGCAACTTTTCACTGGAAAAGAAATGACAGCCATGTCCTTACTCAAATCGAAAAGTCCTTCCAGGGACTGGCTTTGTG